GAAGCTATTGGAGCCAATATTGTATTAGGCAGAATCATTTAAAATGTGTGTGAAACAGATGAGTAAGATTATCTTTTGGACGTTTACTGAAAATATTGCTCAATTTAGTGAAATTGATAAATTATGATGTTATTTAAGTAAAGGAAATGAAATTTTAATGCCTTTGTTTCCAAGGATTCTCAGCAGTTTATGTGAAAATACATAGAAGGGCTTGGAAATAACTTTCCTACATGTTTCTTTTTATTTATTTATTTATTTATTTATTTATTTATTAAGGTGCATGAAAGAAAGGAAACTTTCAAGGTTGTATTATTTTATAGACCTTCAAAAAGCCTTGACAGGAATTCTTAAAAGGATTCTAAAGCCAAAGGATACTTCTATTATTTAACTTGAACTTGTGTATAAATGGGCCACATATTTCCAAACAATCTTTCTCACCACCTTCATTTTATGAATCTTTTCTGTAACTGAGTTCCGTATATTTAGGATGAGTATTTTTTCAAAGCTACACTATGTGGCAAGTCATATCTAGGAGAAGAAATGAGCTATATTTTAATTTTAATATCTGTTTTAATTTTGTGTTTCATCTCTAAGCAACTAACAGAACTGTATCCTTTATTACTTAGGAAAAAGAAAGAAGTAAGGGAGTGGTGTGTACTTGTGTGGCTACTTTGAATTTCTCATATACTGATGGACAGCTAGAATATGAGTAATTTTGTTTTTATAACCTATTAATAAAGGGATTCATCATTCACTGTAATGGTGATATGATATAATGATTAGTTAATTGTAGATAAACTAGCATTCTAGTGGTGAATTTTACTTCTAACTCAGGGTTATAAAGTTGCATTAAACAGTATTTATTACTGATGGAAAAGGAAGGAAAATAGTATAGTTATGGTTATGTCAGAGCTACTCATCTCCAAAACAAGAAAGGAGAAATATCACTGTAGGCTATCATGTGAGCTTTGAAGTATTATTGATGATAAAAACCATCCATAACCTTTCACAGAAACTCTTTACAGAAAAGTAGAAACTTGAGATATGAATTCTGGCAGCTTTTCAGTACGTTCTTATCACTGGCAAGAGCTGAATGCATTAGAAATAAATTAACATGATTGTAAGTATACTACATACTGTGGCAGAAGAAAATGACTGCACTGACAAGATACTACGTTGTATATGAAAATAAAGTCCTGTCTTGCAGCCCTTGGTCATGAAAAACTTGCAACATTACAAGGGAGGTGCGTGAGAAATGAAAAGTGAACTCCACTGACCATATCCCAAGCATAAGTTACTCTACAGTCACTCTTGTCACTGAAGTGCCAGTCACAGAATTGCTCCTAGAGACTTGTAGCCTTTCCAGCAGGCCACAAAATGTACAAATAAATAAAGCTTCTAGGTAAAATTTGCCTCTCTGAACCTGTTTTTTGGTATTGTTTGCTTGTTTGTTTTTTTTAACCTTGGTATTGCAGTACACTTTTGTATGTGGTATGTGCATACAATAGGCAATTGAGGCCTGCAGTGCAGGAAAAATGAAAGTTTAGGGTTTTATTTATTTCCAGTTGTTGAATGGCTTTATATTCCGGAAATCTAATGTGGCTAATATGGTGTGGTGGCATTTTCCCTGGCTTGTATTATGCCAGAGAGGAAATACTCGAGTAGATTAAGAGGGACATTATGCTCACTTCTATGCCAAATTTACTCTGCCTTTTTTGTAAAGCAATGCTTCAACACTTGATTTAACATTATTTTCTTCCAGTGATTCTTTCCTGTTGGATGTGTTACAATGGAGGTCCTGTACCACACAAATTTGAAGGATGAGCTTCCTGTGTCCCTGGACTGAGTCATAGGGCTCATCTGCACAGATAAGCGAAGGTAGCCTACAAGCTGTGGTTACTCTGCAGTAATTTCCAGGTCAGCTGTGTTTGCCCCATGTTGAAGGGACTCAGCCCATTTGCCATCCTTGGTCCCAGCCCAGTGCTGTGCTCACTCTCACCAGAAGGGCACAAGTTTCTCAGCAGAGCAGCCCTTCTGCGGTTTTCTGCAGTGCTCGTGATGACTTCCTGCAGTGCTCAAGTAATTCTTCAGTTTGAAGAAGAGCTTTTTAGACTCCTAAGTCATCTGCTCTCTGCACCGTTGGTTTCTGAGGAAGCTCTTGCCTGCTCAGCATGAATTAACAAATGATAAGGACACAAGCATTGAATGAAGCAGGGGTGGTTGTTGAGTGATAAAGTAAGGGTGGCTCACATCTAACACAAATCAGCTTTGCTGGGGGAGGCATTCATAACCCCTGAACTTTAACATGTTTAAAAAACAAACAAACAAACAAACAAAAAAAAACATTTTTCTCACAGAAGACACACTAGATTATGAAAAATTTCAGTGTGATTTTTATGCAGTGTGCTGTTTTCTTATTGTTATATTTAAAAGTTGCTTCAATGACAAGTTTACATGTATACTGCAAGTTTTAGAATACGAAAGTCTAAAGTTGTTTACAATTACACTTCCACATTATACCATACAAAAAATGCTTTGACTTGTCATTCATTGTTCTTTCATTTTAAAATTGGACAAAACATTTTGACCTTTCCTTTTTTTTTTTTTTGGTCTACATTTAGAATGTTTTTTTTTTTTCCAAAACTACCTGAAGGATAGAAAGCCTAGACTGTAACTGGAAGATGAAAAAAAATCAGCTTTCGTCTCAAGTACCATACAATCAGAAGAGAGGCAACTTGGACAACAGTCTTAAGAATGAGCTCTCACACCTTCCTCTACAAAAGAAGCAGGAAGGTAAGGACAATTCTTACATGGTCAAAGTCTGAGTTTGACTCTAGGAGACCCCAGTCAAAATGTATTTCAGAAGATGGGACCCATCTGAAACAAAACCAAGCCAGTAAATAGTGAGCAGAAACTACAAGGGAAGTTTGCAAAGATGATAGAAACTAGAAGGGCTAAAAGAAACTTGTGTGGTTATACAGGCCATTAAAAAAGAAACACAAACAAAAGTGTGAGGCTTTCAAAGGAATTAATGGATACTTTGATTTCCCAGAAAGTGAGAGAAATAAGTACTTTTTAAGTACCTTCTTTGCATTAGCTATTATCACAGAGGACTTTGAGGAATATTTACCCTAACCATTTTCTTTTCAAGTAATGAATGTTGCCAGAGATCAGAAGAGTTTGGGTATTAGCACAGAGTAGGAAATGATAGAGTAGAAAGATTAAAAAAAAAAAAAAAAAAATCTGAGGTGCTTGGTAGAAGAGCTGATCTGCCAAGAAAACAGAAGAGCTCTGTTTAAAATTGCTCACTGCATTGGAGGCCCAGGGAGTAGGTCACTTTACCTATGCTTTAAGGAGCCACTTAAGACCAGTAAGCCTTGCATTTGTAGCCAACTGGCGTTTATAAGCATAAAATCTTTGTAAGTCAAAATGGAAATTACAGGATAAACTTTTTCATAAAATAAGCATCCTTCTTTCCTTTAACACGCACGGATTATCTGAATATGTAAAGGAAAAATGAGATCCAGCTGATCCAATATACTGAAAATTACAAAGTGCAGCTTTGTAAGTTGTAATATAAACCTTGTGGATGATTTTCTTAGCTCAAGATGAAGCTGTTACAAGATATACAAAGCAAAACTGAAGCTGCTATTTGATTGCAATGTTTCCTTTATCACGACAGGCAATGAAATAGGAAGCAGGCTGTTTACAGATGTACTCCATTAGCCCCAGTGAAAGCAGTATATATGCTGCAGTGAAGTCACAAATTTATTCCCAAATGAATTATTCTTTAGCCTTAATAAAACCATAACATAGCTTTTGACAAAGCAAAATATGGCAGATGAAACCATATAATGGGCAGGATCTCTTTGGGCTAAAAGACTGATTCTCCTTCTTTAGTAGTTTTACAAAAGAATTTACGTTAGTGTTTATGTAGATATATAGCTCCAACATTCTGAGCAGGTTTTATTGATATGAACACACATACTTAAAGCTGATGTTTTCCTCCTTGACTGCTCAACAGGACATTCCCTTCAATTTCTAAATTATTCTCATTTCTAATTATTCTATAGAATTCTAAAATGAACAGATTTGAGATTTGTATAATTCTGATATGCAGCCAGAGCTCAACAGTTGCAGTGGAAAAGTGACTTATAATTAGATGTCACTGTAGCATAGTAACTGCACTTCTTTGCATTCTGATGGGTAAAGTCTGGAATATGTTATGTGGCTAGATTGATAGACTGGGACTCAGGGAAAAAAAAGTCTGATTTTTATGAATTTTTGTCAGGCTCGCTCTAAGGACTGGCATAGGTAGCTTTGTGATGTTCTGGGTTTGATTCATTTAAAGGTAAGTCAAATTATTTTTCCAAACTGTGCATGAGAGGTCACTTGTCACATGTTATTTTGTCATTTCCTCAGTCAATCTGAGTGTACTTGCCTCACTGGTTCCCTTTCAATAATCGTAGGGAAGGCAAGTGTTAATCTACATGTAGTATTGCATTAGCACAACCATATTTTCCTCTCTTCCTCTTTTCCCTGTTTGTTTTTATGGAACTTGCTGAACAACCTGCAGTGAGGTTTGAGCCCTCCTCCCCCCAGTTCTAATCCCCAAAAGTCTTCTGAATGGCTGCCCTAGGACAGGAGTTTGCAGGAGTATGGGGCCACAATCAGAAAAATGTCCATGCTGCATATTGTGACAATATGGTCATGCTAAATGGAGTGATCTGGGACAGTGATAACTTTCACAAGTGTTCATGGTATGAGGGCTTCTGAGGTGAAGTTTGAGGAAGATGAGATTTTTTTTTCTTGTCTTTTCTTTGTGCCATATATGTAATAGAGATAGTTACCCAAAGCTGACAAATCATGCAGATTTGTAAATTGCAACAAGTTATTAGTGTCAGTATATCACTGGAGGTAACAGTAATTAAATTGATGCATTTACAGATTTTTAAATGCTGTCAACTAAAGAGAATAAAATGAAAAATCGCACATTGCCATCAATTTGAAGAACTTTATCCCAAAACACAATTTCCATCTGCTGTTAACAAAAGGTGTCATTTTCATCATAGTAAAAGAACAAACCAGTACCAAGTACATACATAGTGAAAGCAGTCAATAACTGTGTAAGAATATAACAGGAGCAGAAAAGAATACATTTCTGTTAAATAAACTTGCTAATTAGAGAAAACATATTTTTAAGAAGTTTTTCTCTTTACAGATAGAGATTCACATTTCAAGAACAACTATTACTAGAGCAATTTTTTTTTCTGTAAACCAACCCATATACTACAAAAACAATACAAAGAAGCCCTGCAAATCCGTTAGTGTACAAAACAGGGTAGCAGAGACAAAGAACAAGAGAGTTAAATTTTCCAGAATTATTATGAAAAAAATAACAGTGCATTCTAAAGGGCTCCAGTAAACTTGTTTTACATGAACTGAAGGATGACATTTCCAAATGACTGCAATTTTGTGAGAAGTACAGATGCTTTCAAAGTGTTACTATTTAGTTTATCATGGGGAAAAACACAAAACACAAACAATTAGGCAATATTTGAGATGAGGTAACAGAAAAGTAAATGTTATAAGCTACCTCACAAAGCTAGCTACTGGATTATTTACATTAGTTTAAAACTTCATTGAGGCTTTGCACTCTATTCCTTCCCAACTTTACAACTTCTTAACTGAAAAGGTCTTTATTGGAGAAAGAACATATATTTCTTCAGTTAGGTGTTCATACAATAGAAAAAATAGTGCAACTGTTTGCTATATTAAATATCCTTCTAGCATATCTATCAAAATACTCAGTCTTGTTTTCTTTACCTTCTCTTTTAAAAAAATACAGTGTTCTGCTTTTTTTTTTTAATTTAATTTTATTTTTGATTAGGGAAGTATGGACATCTTTAGATGTGTTTAAAATAAAAAAAACAGCAACCTGGAGCTAGTCCTACAAGATGTTCCACTGAAGCAGATGTTATATACATGTGTTATTAATCCAGTTGTCTCCAGGTGGAGGCAAAGATCCCTCTGGACAAAGCAGCTTGCAGGCTCCGGAACTTCAACCATCCCTGTGAAGGCAGTAACTGAAAGAGTTCTAGGCCTAAATCTTGTCATAGTTTAATCTTTTTCACTCATTAATAGGACTGAACTCCACAGGAAATGCAACATAACCTTAATGACTGCTGTTCAGAAGACTTGTCAAACAATACCAGAACAAGCATGGACTGACGAGGAGGTTGCTCAACACTTTGAAGTTCTTAAGGTAACCTCATTTTGCTCACAAAAAGATCTAGAAATTTTCCATCTGACTATAGCAGCTTTACGATGCATCTGAGAACTATAAGTGTGACTAGATTTGAAATACCCATGGGTCAGCACATTGTGTTTTCTCTTCACTGGATAGAATAGTGGTTCATGGCCATGATGCTACATGGGGTTTTTCTACCTTTTGTGGTGCTTTTCAGTGCCTGTTTCAGTCCCCTTCCCTTACCCTAAGTACTTTAATGCTGATTATGATTTGGGAAGAAAAGAAAGGGATTTTGGGTGGGGAAAGCTCAATTAATGATGCAGTAATAGTAAAAACAGGAATTTCTAAAACGTATGTTTTGGGTTGTATGGATACTGATGATAGAGTTACAAAGATTAATACTACATCTTTGTGTAGTATTCCTCTGAAGGTCAACAGAGGTGGTTGGTTAAGGAGGGCTGAAGAACATTGCTGGCTTCCAATTGCTTGTGTGCTCTGCTGCCAGGGAATGAAAAGAAGATGGAGAAGACAAGAAGAGAAATAAAATGAAGGCATGAAGACACCTGGTGCCAAGAGATTTTAAAGGGATAGATGAGACTTCACATCAGGGTATTTTGGGGAGGTAAGAGGAATGACACAGTCTGAAGGATCAGGTAGTGACATTTAAGACATTCCTGAAAAATTATTTGTCTCTGTCTTGACTTTTGTTAATTGTGGTTAATAACAATAAGACATTGAGATTTACTAGCATAAAGCTGCAGAAAAAAATGAGGCGATGCTATTGTACAGATGATATTTGACTCTTTAACATGCCTTGTGTAAGAAACCTTGGTGTTTTTTTGTTTTAGCGGGGAGACTAATCAGCACTTTTGGGCATTAATCTTATGTATTCTATCCACATGGGAAGCTTCCTCAGTATTTTCTACAACTGAAAAATATCTTCACTAGAAGCCTGCACTGCAAAGATAAGAGTGGGTAGCATAATGATCCAAAGACTTCTGAAAAAGATGGAAACACTGGTTGTGCCTATATAAAAGGGCTTTTACTTTGGTACCAACAGATCAAGCTTTCTGATGACACTCAGGTTTACCTGCCTTTGAAGCAATCCGTTGAGATGATTAGACACGACAGGTTTGTATCACCATTTTGTTTCCATTACCTGTCTGCCTTGCATTAATTCCTAAATCACGTTAGAGCAACTGTAGATCTCGCCATGTTGTCTCAGTGTAAGTACTCTGGTACAGATCAGAATGGGACAAAATTGCAATGCATTTTGTTCTGCAAAGGCACGTATTTCCCTGGAGATTTCTCTATAGAGAACTGGAGTCTTTCCTATTACTTTGTGCCTGAACAGCCAAAAACTAAAATGCGATATGTTTTTTCCTAACCTGCTAGGATTTCCCTACATGCCCACAGACAAGGGTAGCGGTGACTTCATTTTCATTGTCTTGAGTTGGAAAGACAGGTAAGAGGTCAAGGTAAAAGGGGTTGTATGAGGAAAGACAAAAATCACATCAAGACCAGTACGAAAGTTTAAGACCTCAGAATATTTTGATTTTTTTAAAGTGTTTTCCCAGATTAGGGGCAAAGGGGCTAACTACTTTTTAAACCCTTCCTGTCTTGATCTTACCATGACTGACCAATATGCTGTGTAACAAGATACCTAATAGAATATTGATCTCCAGCTCTTCTTCTGCTAGGGGCACAAATGGCCTTGGTCCCCTGAGGATAAGCATGCTGTAAGACAGGAGGGACACGTTGTACCTGATGGTTAGCTCACTCAGACTGTGCATCCAGAAAGCCAGAGGGGCAGAAGAGGAGTTAATGAAGCGCTAAGCTCTGCTTGTCAGAACCCTGATGTCTGACATTACCATCAGAGACCTGACTGCCCTTTTTCTTTCTGAGTGTTAGCCAGATGAAATCCACTTATCCAGAGCTCTAAGTGCTTTAAAAGCACAGAAGCGTTTGATCTGCAATTTTGATTTTCAGCCTATTTCTCTTAATAATGGAAATCAGCCTCAAAATGAATAATTTTCCAAATTCTTCTCTGTGATTAGCCACAGGAAGCCCAGCAAAATTACCCTGTATAAATGGACAGAGCTACATGAAATTAATAACTCTCAGCAGCCTGCAGAGAAATGTGAAAAGGATATTAAGAACTGGAATAGTTCAATAATAACAAAAAGAAAGCTTCTAATAATAGACAAACTGCATAACTTCCTATAGACTAAAGACTGCTGTTTTAATTTGTGTCCCAGACATAAAGGCAGGTTTTCCCTTTCAGAGTACAATAGCTGGCTGCTTCTATTCACTCTTGATTGGGGTCTTGTTATTACAGGCAGTTGGTGGGATGCTGACGACCCTCAAGTTCCATTGCAAACAAGGATTTTGGAGAGTGGATTTCATTACTTCAGAGGTAACTATCAGCTCACTTTCCCATTTAAATGGCTAAATATGTTATTGTAGCTGTTGAATCCCTCTGCTACTGTTGCATCAGTTTGAAAATCTGTTCCTTTTTGCAAATGCATTGACATGACAATACATGCTGCTTCCTCCCTTTATTTTAGGGGGATATTAATGTTGTGGACAAGAACAGGTGCCTAGCCTTGGAGCTAAATGTATAGCAGGAGTGGCTCTATGAGTTTCCTCACTCAGTTCTCCCATCTAACATGCCTTTGCACCTACCTCCAGAACTGTTCAGCCTTCAGTCTCACAGAATCACAGTCATAGTGCATCCTGAGTTGTAAGGGACCCACAAGGATCATCGAGGCCAACTCCAAGCTGAGTCTCCTTGCTGTGGTGGCTGCACAGCTGCTGTGTCGAGCTGCTGGCTGCTTAGAGCAAAAAACAAAATTCTTAAGTGACAGTTTGATTATCTGATATGTTGTCATAGATCCCTAGGGGCCATGGCAAGACAAGACTTGTAAGGGCATCCAGTCTATTCCCCTGCATCCCATGGATCACTCATAATTGCAGAGCACAGGCAGCATGGCTTCTTGTGCTTGCAGGATGATGTTTACAACATAGCTAGGGGTCTAATGCTGCAGGTAGGAAATGTTCTTCTTTTGTCCACTACTGAACAAACTCTGATCAGGATCTTGTAGCTGTTATCTGTGCTAGATGCACGTACCTAAAGCACAGATCTACAAGTGGAATCCTGCTCTAATGCTGGTGCACGAAATGCTCAGCAAAGCACAGAAGCCTCTTCGGCTTTTACAGAACAGCTTGGGGGAATGAATGCATTTGGACTTACTCATCACTCCTCAGTGAGTGACAGCACTTCTCCAGCTGCTTTGCTTCAAGGAAAAGGAGTAGCTACAGTCCTCTAAGTCAAGCTATGCTGACAGTTCAGGCTATAACTTTGACTCACATAATGAAGCAGTGATAACAAATTTCACAGGATCACACCTGTGAAACATTTACCATTTCTTCTCCCCTCCCCTCTGTGGTCTCTCTGAACTTAATGATGGATGAACCTCCTTTTTTCAGTGCTTGAATTTTAGCCTTCCTTAGCCTTCCAGGAGATTTAAGAGGCTGTAGTAGACCCAATGAGAATGCTATATCCAGAAACAGAGTGTTTATCCTGATCAAAGGAGATCATAATTTGAGCCAGCTCTGCTCACTTTAATGTAGGAATCTTTTATCGCCTGACAATATATTTCAGCAGCAGAAAACTAACTGGACTGTTAGTTTCTTTAGCTACAAGATAGGAAATGCTTGCACTTGCTTCCTGCACCCTGTTTTCCATGTCACCCGTCAAGCCAATTACTTTAACTAAGGTTCTGTCTGGCTGCTTTTGACAACTCATCCTCTAATAATGAAAATATGTATGATGATGATCTGGATGAGGGAGGCAGAACTCATTGTCTTCCAACACTCCTGCAATTACTATCAGTTTCAAATGAAAGTAGGACACTTTCTTTGGGAAAAGCAACACAAAAGTGTCACTCAGGTTCATTAGCAGAGTGGTGGTTTTTGCTGTTCCCTCTCTAATTCTTCATGGGTGAAGAATTTAGTCTAGTGCTTTGAGAAAGAAATGTAAACATTGCTAATTGCACTTAGATTAATATTCTAGGAAATTTAAACAAAGCACTCCACCGGCAAAGTTATTTAGCAGCAGAATAGTCCCATTGGGCAAGTACCATAGTGTCAAACTGGTTTTTAATCATGGTGAAAAAAATTTTGCTCTTCATGCACAAATAGTGCTTGCAGGATCTGGCATAACTAATTAGAGATCTGTTGAAGAGAAAAACAAAAGAAAAGTCCACTGATACAATTAAAAGGCAATAGAATATCAGAAAAATATATTTGAAGTAATATTTGCATGGTTCCTAGATGTTTGCATACCAGATCTTGTCCTGCATTATTCCATTTTTGAGACCTTTCTGCAGCCTTCCAGTCTCACTTAACAGTTTACTTTCTGCTCCGAGAGGGTAAAGAGGCATAGAAGAACAGAAGTACACAATCTATTCAGCTCCTTTGTTGTTGTTGGTTATTATTATTTCTGTTTGCCTATGAAGGGGCAAACATCCATTTAGAACTGTGAATAGCATTACTTCTGTATCAAGACTATAGCTATTTTATTAGACAGAACTTGTTTTCTGCACATCTGAGTTTCCAAAAGTGTGCTTCTCAAACTTTTTTCTTTTTCTTTTTTTTTTTTTTCTTTTTTCCCCAGAACAGATTTCTTGTGTTCCAAAGAGAACCCTGCCTCCAAACAGTGAAATACCTAAACACACAGAAGCTCCATTCCTCAGGTGAGTTGTTATTGTTTTTCTCATCCCCAGAATAACTTAGTCCCTTTTCTCCCTCCTGCTAGCTGTTTGTTTGCATCTTTCCAGCTTTAAAAGCAAGTTCATGAAGACATGAAAAAATATACACAGTGACTACTGCACAATTCTAGATACTGGTTTGGGGCATGCTGCTTTGATTCATGTAAATACTCACCAGCCCTGCAGGAAAATTGGTCTAAAGAGAAAAGAAGGAAAATCCAAACCTCCCTTTACATTTGCCAGCTCTTAGCCCAGCCTCAAGCTCAGTGGCAGGCAAGTGTCAAAAATAGTCTCTGTGTCTTCAGAAGAGGCTTTCTGGAATTAGCATACTAGTTGCATGAGGCAGAAAACCAATATAGCACATGCATACTTAGAGGAAGAATTGGTCTACTACTATCTCAAAGTTCAGATATTTTGTGTATTTTGTTTTGTTTTAGAGGGAAGACAAAGATTTCCAACAGAGATGATACCCCCTCCCTCCCCCCAGAGGATTCTTTAATCTTTGAAACATGGAGGGCTTCAGCATGTTTTGAAAAGATACAGCTCTTAAAAGGAGCTGCTGATGGGAAGAGTGCAGTGGAAATACTGTTCCCCAACAGAACAAATCCAAATGACAATTGGAGTTGTTACTTAACGTAGTCTATGTAAGAGCCACTTCCAGGAGCCTCACCACAACCCAGAGACTTACTAAGACTGAAACACAAGTATTTGTATATCTGCCACATATTACCTTTTTCTGCTATTTCTATGCCAGCACACATAAATGCTTACATTCACTCTTGAGAGCACAGAAGCATCATCTGTCTTTCAAATCTATTTTTCTCAGAAACATCACTTACTCTTTGGCTTCACAATGTTCCTTCTCTATGACTATATGCTTATAACTATATAAATATATAACTTCTGTGGAAAACCTGGATTAGAAGGAAATAAGTTGGAAAGCGTGATATCTGTCCTTTGTTTCCTGGAAGAAAAACTATTGTTGTAATTACAGTCCAGTATCCCTACATAGAAATGGGCTTCACCCTTCCTCTGAGGAGCAGAGGGGCTGCAAACCAGTCACACCTTGAAATAGCTGTGCCTCCTCCTGCAAACAGCAGGCATGCTGAGCATCAATTCCTAGATTACCACATCTAGTAAGGCAAGTGTTAATAGCATGCATCTGCCTGTCATAGTGTTAGACACATTTTGAACACAGCCTAGTGTATGAAAGTGCTCAAGACACACCTGTGATGACCTTGTACTGCATCAGACCTGACCCAATGCCTACCATTTACTCCATCCAGAAAACTAAGTTGTCCAGCAAATATAACACAGAACAATTTCATACAACATTATACCACCATAAAAAAAATACACAAAAAAAGCTGACAAAACCCAGAAAAGCTGCTAGAAAAATCTAAGCAGTAGAAAATAAGCACTTTCTGTATAAATCTCTGTTTCTTTTGGATTCACTATACCCACACTGGTCTCTCTTTCATTTCCATACGAAACTTGTGTTCGCTCAGTTCTCGGTTAAAGCTTTCACCTCCATACAATTTGCAATTGCATCTAAATTTCTGCCATCGGAATTCATGGTGATAAACTTGCATTTCACATCCATGACTGTGGTAGCACTTAATCAACAAAGTCCCTACCTATATGTATTTATATAGATATACATGTATATATACACACGTACATACATACACATGACAAATACTGTTGCAGTTATCCTCTCTTTCAGTGTTTGGAGTGACAGGCATCCTAGAAGGTGAAGGCATACACCACTCCCACAACCACAATATTTCCAATTGTTGCTATGATTGCAATCCATAACAATATGGCATCGTTTGAAGACCGGGATGTCTCTTCTGGTGGATTCTGCATGGAAGAAGCTGCGTGGACATTGGCTGAGGAGTTAAACAAGGAGTACTCTGTACTAAAGTCCTCATTTGGTGAGTCCATAAAGGCTCCTCCCATAACAGGAAGCTGTGAAGAAGGATATAGAAAAATGAGATTGAAAGCCAATACTTGTATCTGTTTGGTCTCAAAGGTATTACAAAAGAGTAACCACAAGCCAACCTGCAAAACTACTAAGATTTCATGTACATGGTGCTAAGCCATCAGGAATATCACACGCATACTTTACACGATTTTTTCTATTTCTGTTAAAGTCGGTATTATTGCAGGAAAACGATGTATATTGCATGTAATATACGTAAGAGCTAACATGCACACTCCAAGTCAACCTACACAATTATATGAAATTAAAAATAACAAGTATAGCTATCCACAATGCACTCACATACCAAAGCATAAGTTTAGAGTACCGCGATTGTTTTGTGACTATGAGCAATGGACTCATACTGCTCAAAGGCCTTGAGCAAGCACAGTGAGGATTCAATACAAGGAATTTATTCCCTGTTTGTGTTTGGCTCAGAAGTGAACCCTTGATTTGTAAACACAAAAATATATGAATTGCAAAAGTTGTTGCAGTTAGATAGATGAAGTGTACTTAGTGCTCTAACTTCACTGCAAAACATACCTGCAGTGTATGATTTATAAATAGATAAATTCTAATAATTCTATAAATCTAAAGGATTTATAAATCTATGCAGTGGAAAACTTCAAATTAGATTATGAAAGGCTGCATTGCAATGAAGTGAAAGATTTCCAACACTTCTCCCATCTCAGATGTCTACTGGGGAAGAATAAGTTTTCTTTGGTATTCTTAGTGGATTTGTCAATGATACCAGGAAAAGTTCACAGTTCTTCACTTGCAGATGTTTTTTGGCATAATTTTTCTTCACCATTCCCAATAGGTCTCTCTCTCCTCTACAGCTGAAACCAGAGGGTTCTCTTGCTCAGTAACAACAAGATAAAAATACTTGCTAGTGCAGTACTAGTAACTACTATTACAGCTAGCAGCAGCATAGTGCTGTTGAAGTCACCATGGCCTACGAATAATGAAGGAACCAACCTAGCCTTCCTTCAGCCACATCACAGAAGGCTGCTATACTATGATAAATTACCATGCCCAATACCCACCAGGCTTGAAAATCAGTGTTTTTCAACACTGTGTCCTTCAGCTCTTGCATTACATTTTGATGCTGCCTTTGGTACCAAACTACACCCCTCCTGGCTGTCTGCAGGTGTGCTATGGAGGCTGCTAAGCAGGAGAGGATTCAGGGATAAGCCACCTCTCTTCTCCCACTGTGGTGGCTGTAATCTACAAATTAGAGCAAAGAATTTCCTAAGCTCAACAATAAAGTAGCTTTTTTTTTTTTTCTTTGATATTCAGATCACTTTACAGCAATGCAAGACAGTCTCTCTTTCAAAGCTGAGTGCTGAAAAAAAAAGCTGAGTTTTGTTTGTACTAGAACATATCACGTCACATTCCAAATGAAACAGAATGATCAAAGACTACAACGTCATACTGCCCAATCCACATCAAATAAAATTATCTTTGAGAGCACATATGACTACACAAAAACAGTTTGCAAGAAGCCAGACAGGAAATTGCAAAAGTCAAGTGTGAAATATGCCCCAAAGCTTTTTGCCTCCAGCTTCAACACTGTTTTAAAGAGAACAAAAGCTTCCATTTCGCAATGAGCCCAGCCTGATGTTTTGAATTCAATTCCTCCAGCCTCTTTTATGGACTTGATAAAGGAAAACACTTAGTTTAATCAGGATTCCATTTTACATAGACCTTGCCATAAAAGGCAATTCTGACCCCAAACACTTATGACGAGTGTATACATGCAGAAGTGCTGCCATTTAACAGCTATGGAGACACAAGTTAAAGATCTACATGGAGAACCATGCGCATAATTTACCACAGTGGCAGCAAAATGCTCGATCTGAGATGCTTGTCTCTTTAGCAAACCATTTTAAGGGCATCAGTCTTTAGGCTGATCAATTCTGCAATGTCTTACAACTGGAGAAACCATCCTGGTGACTGTTCATGAAAGACATACAGGTATATGTGTATGTGCATGTGCCCACAACGTTGGAAAGATCATGAGAACTGTTCTGATGAGTGATAATCAGATTTTTGGGCCACACATTCTCTACCCTTCGTGAGTTATTGGAGCTGACAAGCTTCCACACTGCTAGTCCACATGGTGCTGTCAGAGGGGCAGGGAGCACTTGTGTAGCAGCACAGCTACACACCATGCTGCAACTGATGTCAAATGTGAGTCTCCTCATACCATGTAAGGCTCAAACAAGCTGTTTTCACCATCTGAGAGGAACACATGGTGAAACAGCTCATCTGAATCTTCTAAAGGCTTGCGGTGACCTGACATAAAGCACTGACATTCAGCACCTGGCACACACTCTTTCTGTGTAACTGACTTCCAGTTTTTCTGTTTGTAGGTCAGTAGCACTTAACCACAGATCTGGAAATAAACCTTATTGCTGATTTTCTGTTGGAAGAAATAGTTTCTTTCTAAATGCACACTGTCTCTTTCTCATTGCTAAAATGACCTCATGTAAGTACCAAGGAATGGCTGTAAAGTGCCTGACAGAAAGCCCATCTCCCTTGTAAGCTCCAACACTAGCCATAAATGCTCAGGAAAAAGTAAGAGCACAACAGGACAAGAATATCTGATACTACACCTTAACGTCTCACAGCCTCCTGCTGTTCTGAGCTGAGGCAGTTCATAAGCCAGATGATAATGCTTTGGATTTAATAACTCAAATAATTCTGCTGCTATGAACTTGTCAGCTTCCACCCGAGCTCACCTAAAGCTGTGCATCCTTCTCAATCTGGCCTCTTACTGCCACTTAACAGTAAGGGTTGCCCAGTGATTAGCATCACATAAATCAGCCATGAGAGATAAACCCAGCTCTCCACTGGAGAGGGAAGCACAGGGAAAAACATCAACTGGCAATCTATCCTTATGGTATATTAACCTTATGAGATGAATCTCATCCTTAGCTTTGATGTCTTTGTTCTCCCCAAAGGTGCCGTATCTTTCCTCTGCAGTATTATTTGAGGTATTGCATTTAAGATTATGAGATATCCCCTCCCAACAGTAATGGGAGTTGTGAAATGCCTGACAGACTGTAAGCTAAGGATAGAAAGCCTGCAATGCTTTCTGTGCTTGCTCTACTTGTCTGTCCATGCCTCCATGAAGCAAATATATGATGATTTACATCAGCCATGAATCTCACCTCTGTCACTGACATTACAAAGTGACATGCATCCTCTTTTATTCTCAGAGGGTTTTTAAAGTTGGGACAAAGCTGTGCAGCACCTGTGCCACCCTCCCCAAAATCACTGGACAAGGAGACCAGAGAAAAGGCTTAACTGGGAAACATGGCAGTGTGGGACAAGGCAGAAGAGAGAATGCTGTAGCTTGGCTCTGAAATTAAACTCTTTCTTGAGTGACTGTGTCAATAATGCTAAGTAGCGTTCCTACTACTTCTTTTGCTAAATGACTTCTGGGAGTGGTGGGGAAAGGATTCGAATCATTAAATAACAACAGGCAGAGAAACCAAACAGCAAAATGCCAAGTGGTAATGAGAACACCCACTGCGCTGAATGTCTCCTGCTGGCATATAAGAGGATGTTCTAGGGTCAGGAGGAGCAGAACAAGGCTCTTGAATAGTTAAGTGACACATTTTCTAGTTAGTAGAAAAAAACTATTTTATAACCAAAAGGATTCAAATGAAGAAAAAAAAAAAAAAAAGTCCCAGTCACCAATACTCCAAAAAGGATAACTTTCTTAAGTAGTATAATTTAAAATCCATCATTTAGCAATAATACTGCTCTGTTTCTTTGAGAATCAGGGAAAAATCATTTTGGAGTCAGCTAGAAAAGTTCAACATTCTGTTCCTTCTATGTAAGGGGGAAACCAGACTCAGGATAGAGATTTGAAAGCATAGCTAAATCTTCCAGTTGTTATTTTCTAATATTAGGAAACAGCAGCAGAAGCTCTAACATACATGCTGGAAGTTGACCCTTGCTGTAAACTTCTCTGGGAATGGGACACTGTGTTGTGAAATGTCACCCCAGCTCAGATGTTAGTTTGCAAACTTCCTGTTATTACTTTGGAATATCTAAATTTTCAGAGTTTCTTTCAGGTTAAATTAGGCAGCATATTTTTACATGATGACATATTCTGAACACATAAAATGAAATGAGTACATCCTTCTGGCCTGGCAATGTGTGATCACTGGAGTGTATATTTGTGTCTGAAAACCTCCTAGCTGCAATCACAAATCAATCTGACTAATGCGGTTGTTGCTGAAGATGGCAGCAATACACAGGTTCACCAAAGAATCATATTTTAATTCTTAAGCCCTTTTTAAACAAATGTTTTGCACTAAAAGAATACCCCATATGTACAATACTCTCCCTGCACTAAGTCTCTTGCCTTTCATAAATTCATGCATATATGTATTTTCCTCATCTAAGACATGTACTATTATGCAAATAAAGGAGTCTTTGCTATCATTTATTTACTGGTAACATCTGTAAAACCAGTTTCTTCCACCCACCATTTGCCAGAACACGACTCTACTACTTACAACACAAGGACTAGGTACACAGGGACAATCAAAAGAGTTATATGATGTTCTCTGCAAGGGGATTAGTTAAAATGCATGAAACCCCCACATAAATAGAATTTAAGGGCACCTAAGGCTATCTTATTTAACAAAATTAAATAGGTCTAATTCTGAAGGGGGAGGACCCATGTAAACGCTTTATGCAGATAACTTCAAATTTGCACTATAATTAATTCAGATCTCTGCTTCACCCTAAAATCAGAGCATGAGGTTGACAAGCCTAGGAAAAACTGCTGCTTATTTTCAAAAATATGGTTGTCAAAATGTTCACCCTGCAATGGAAAACTTTCACTCTAATTTGGAAGCATCAGGATTTCACTTTTTATTTTTAATCCTACTATTCTATTGCAGTCAATCACTGATTTTCTTCCAATTCACTGTATTCCTAGGACCTGTGTATTTCCCTCCACTGC